GGAGACGGAGTGAGCCTCCCAAAGGTAATTTTGGCTCACCTTGTCTTAAACAGGAACTGACATAGTCATTGCCAGATAGAATACTGATACCAGTTGGTGTTAATAAAACCCAGAAGCCATGTTCGTATGATTGACCAACAGTTTAGCAGAAAAAGAAATAAATTAGTTTGTGTTGAGCACCCACCACAGACCACATAGTAGCTGGATTTTTCCATAGTTTATCTTACTGACTCCTCTATTGATAGAGGGAAATTGACTTGCCTACAGTTGCCCAGCTAGTAAACATTAAAACTATTATTCTAACTCAATTGTTGAGTTTCTAGTCCATTCATTCATTCAACAAATATATGAGTGTACCATGTGCCTGGCACCAGTCTAGATGGTGAATAATGATGCACAAAAAAGTGACAGACCTTGTCTCTTTCTTCGTGAAATTCAGTCTAGTCCTTTTCCATTGAAGACCCTCTTCGGAACTCCCCAGATGGGATGTGATGGCCAGGGGTGAGTCTTCAAACCCCTTTAGAAACAACTGTGATGAAACTTTTATTTCCAGACTCTCTATCTTGGGGGTTTAAGCTTCTAAAATTCCTTAAGTTTTAATGTTTTTCAGTTTTCAACACATTTTCTTATTTCTCAAAGAAAGTGGTCTATTCCATATTATCTTTAAATATTTAAAAATGTCTTTATTCTTTCAAGACTCCTTCTGATGTTTATTTTAGGCCTTTTCAGGACTTGGGTAAGAGAAATACAGTAGCAGGAGCACCATGGGGTTTGGATTCTGGCCTTGAAACCCTTGAGGGATGGCACTAGGCTAAAGAAGCCTCCAGATTTCTCTCTGCAGCTCTGGATCCAGACACATTTATCAATAGTGACTGCAATGCATAATGGAAAGGGTTGTCCATCATGAGAACAAAGAAAATGCCTTGAGTATTAATTGCTAACATATGAAGATGGCAGTCTGGGGCAGTTCAGTAGAGGGACTGTGTGATAACTATAGCTTAGGTGAATATAATCGAGTGGGCAGTTCTAACCAAGGAAATTGATCAAGCAAACATTTTGAGAAGGTGCTTTGGAATACAATTCAGAATCCATGCTGTTAGCTGCCTTTCATTCTTGGAGTTTTTCCAGGTTGTTTATCCTCTCTTGGGTTGGGGAAGAGGTTGGTTTCTGAGCTAGGAGGGTGAAGTTCTTGTTAGTTAAAGGATCACAGTACTTAATAAGTGGTTTTCCCTTCCTGGTCTCTGTGCCCCCCCCCCCAGCCACCAATGAACAGCAATATTTGGCTGGAACTCCAAACCTTGAACTAGACACTGTATCTCACCAAGTCTTAGTTTCTCCATGTATATACTTACATGAATATAGGTATTTTTATATATATGTGCATGTGATGTAAGATGTATAGTATACGTGACTCATGGAATTGTGATTAAATGTAGAACTGAACACAAATAGAGTTTTATAAACTCTAGAAAAGTAGTTCTCAAAACTGGGGACAATGTTGCCCCCCACCAGGGGGAACATTTGAGACATTTGGGAGTGTCTGGAGACATTGTTGGTGGTCACAACTGGTAGGTAAAGGCCAGAGATATTGCTCAACATCCTACACTTCATAGGACAGAACCCCCCCCCACCCACACCTGCAACCAAAGAACTGTTCAGCCCATAAGGTCAATGGCACAGAAGTTGGGAAATCCTGCTCTGGGGCATTGCATGGATGCTGCAATTAAGTAATTGTGTGATCTCAAGGGGGCACCACATACCTCAGCTTTTAATATGTAAAATCAAGAAATTGCCTATCATAGATGATAGGATATAGTAACCGCGAAATTATACAGAACAAGCACAAAGCACAAAAGTCAAAAGGAAACAAAAAAATCAAAGGACTGGATCAACGTAACGGAAAGTGCTACAGTTTGGAAAGTTAGTTGGTACGTTAAGGGATGGGAATCTATCAATAAGCAAAAGCAGATGAAAAATATACAATTGTAGGATTTATCCTAAGGAAAAAGGAAAGAACGAGGAGTCCCGTGCAGGGGTATTCACTGGAACATTGCTTGTAAAGGCGAAACACTGGAAAGCAAGGAGGGGCATGGTGAAGCTGGTTCCTGTCCTGTAGCATTTCACGGGCTGGCTGAACTCGTTCTTGTGACACCAGCACAGCGCTGGTGTGTGTAACCCTCGCCCAGACAGGACAGGCTTGGCTGTCTCCTTGTTTGATGCTATAAGAAAGGCTCCTAGTGATGAACATAGCATATTGTATAGATTGGTTTAATCACTACTGTGTACATCTGAAACTAATGTAATGTGGTGTACTAACTACACCCCCCGCAAAAAAGGCTCCTCAATCTGATGACCACAGCTGCTTTCCAAGGTAAGCTAAGGTCAAGCAGAGCTGAGGCATTTTCCCCTTCTCATCCCTGTTTCTCCCTTCCTCTCCTTCCCCCACACTTTCTCTGTCTCGCTGTTGAGCCCTTCCCCCGCTCTGCTTCCAGGGACAGGAAAAGCCTGTAATCGCCTCGGGCTGAGGGAAGACAACAGTGAGAGAGACCGTGCGCTCAAATCAGGACACAAGCCCTTCTCCAGGTCTGCTGGCTCCATTCAAGCTGTTGTTTCTGAATATTTTTCATACCACAAGTCTAAGCTAATATTTTGGCAGGAAACATGGGTCCAGCTAGACAAGAGAACAATAAGCTGTTTGCTGTGCAGTTAGGTAGCATGAAAAAGGTTTAAACACTTTGCTGTTGATGTTCTGTTCTATTCATCAAGTATTTATGTGTGCCAAAGGGCCACAGTAGCCTGGGTGGGCCAGAGCCAGTGAAGACAAAGGTCCCAAGAGGCTTAGAGCTAGTTATGGAGCTGGGTGGTTGCCCAACGAATTGTGTGATAATCAAGCCAGACTCTAGAGCTTTGAGGGAGCAGAGAAGGGAGGACTTAATAATAACCAGCATCAATCACAAAGATTTCTTTTTTTTATTTATCTAAATTCAATTTAGTTAACATATAGTGTAGTATTAGTTTGGGGGGTAGAATCTAGTGATTCAACACTTACATGTAACACTCAGTGCTCATCACAAGTGGCCTCCTTAATGTCCATCACCCAGTTAGCCCATCCCCCACCCACCTCCCCTCAAGCAACCCTCAGTTTGTTCCCTAGAGTTAAGAGTCTCGAATCGTTTGCCTTCCTCTCTGTTTTTAATCTTATTTTATTTTTCCTTCCCTTCCCCTATGTTCATCTGTTTTGTTTCTTAAATTCCACATATGGGTGAAATCATATGGTATTTGTTTCTCTGACTGATTTATTTCACTTAGCATAATACCCTCTAGTTCTATCCACGTCATTGCAAAGAGCAAGATTTCATTCTTTTTGATGGCTGAGCAATATTCCATTGCATATATATACCACATCTTCTTTATGGATTCATCTGTCAATGGACATCTGGGCTCTTTCCATAGCTGGCTATTGTGGACATTGCTGCTATAAACATTGGGGTGTGTGTGCCCCTCTGAATCATTATTTTTGTATCCTTTGAATAGATACCTAGTAGTGCAATTGCAGGATCATAGGGTAGTTCTATTTTTTAACTTTTTGAGGAACCTCCATCCTGTTTTCCAGAGTGGCTGCACCAGCTTGCATTCCCACCAACAGTGTAAGAGGGTTCCCCTTTCTCTGCATCCTCACTAACAACCATTGTTTCCTGAGTTAATAATAAAGATTTCTGATTTCTGATAGGAGGTGAGGACATCTATATCCCCATATAAATACGTAAATGTCAATTGAATTGCTGTTGAAGAATAAACTCAAAAGACATTAAGGGTTGTGATGAACACATCTGGACTTAACATCAGGAAGACCAAGGTTTTCATTCCGCTTCCAACACTTACTAGTTATGTGACTTTGGACAATAGTTACTATCATTATTATTATTATTATAGCTTTCCGGTCCCATCTAAAAGCTACTAGATATTAAGAGCAGATAGTAGCCAGAAAAGGGAGAGTGAGCATAAAATATACTGCCAACTGGAAATAATCTAAGAAAGAGAGCCAAATGCTCTATCATGGAGCACTGTTCATAAAGGTGAAAAAATGGAATTGAGCGAGTGGGGTATTATCATTATGCAGTTTCTCCTTGTGTAAAAGGAGGAAAATAACAGGATCAAACCTGAAGAGTTAAATGAGTTAACAATGAGTAAAGCCTAGCATATAGTGAGCCATTGTTAGGATTTCTGTTCTTACTACTCTTTAGTTATATGTGCACGGAAAATGTTAGGAAATCTCCTTGGAGGCTATATTTTTGGGAGTGGAATAAGAAGACAAGAAATGAGGGGTTTATACTTTTTACTTCTTACTATTCTCTTTTTGATTTTTTAGAAAAGATTTTTATTTAGTTAGTTAATCTTTTATATATAAGACAGAGAGTGTGCGAGCAGGGGTAGGGGCAGAGGGAGAGGGAGAGGGGAGGCAAACTCTCCTCTGAGCGGGGAGCCCGACAACGGGGGGCTTGGCTTAATCCCAGGACTCTGAGATCATGACCTGAGCCAAAACCAAGAGTCAGATGCTTAACCGACTGAGCCACCCAAGGGCCCCTCTCTTTTTGATTTTTAAAAATGGAATAAATAAAATCTTAAAAACTATGCTACTGGACTTTTCATAATTTATTTTATATGATGTAAGCAGTCAGGATAATTCAAGCTGTGAATGTATGGGACTTTGGATTCAGGAATATAAAGGTGTGACCTTTGATTCTGACCCCTGCTGATTAGGTTATTTTGGTCAATATTAAGCTCCTTGAGCCTTAACTTTCTCATCTGTAAAATGGGTATAGTAGCACCTACCTCACAGGATTCAGTGCTATAATATAATGTAAGGGTCTTGCATGTGCCTTATACATTGTCAACACATACTGGTTTACTATTTTCATACCATCCCATTATCCCTCCTACACTTTCTTCTCATTTTCATTGACTCTTCTTTAATCACCAGACAAAATTCAAGTTGACCAATGGACAATAGCACAGAAGCCACAGAGTTCATCCTCTTGGGATTAACAGATGACCCTAATCTTCAGGTCCCCCTCCTCCTGGTATTTTTGTTCATCTACCTCATCACTCTGGTTGGGAATAGGGGGATGATGGTGATCAGCCTCTCAGACCCCCACCCCCACACTCCGATGTATTTCTTCCTCGGTAACCTCTCCTTCATAGACCTGGGTTACTCATCAGCAGTAGCCCCTAAGACGGTGGCCACCCTGCAGTCAGGGAGCAAAGTCATCTCCTGCAATGGCTGTGCTGCCCAGTTCTTCTTCTTTGTGGGTTTTGCCACTATCGAGTGCTACCTCCTGGCCTGCCTGGCCTATGACCACCATGCAGCCGTATGCCGGCCTCTTCATTACACCACCACCATGACAGCAGGTGCGTGCGCCCTCCTGACTGTTGGCTCCTACGTCCGTGGCTTCCTCGATGCTTCCATTCACACAGCAAACACCTTTAGACTCTCATTCTGTGTTTCTCATGAGATTAATCATTTTTTCTGCAACATTCCTCCACTCTTGGCTTTCTCGTGTTCCAACACACACATCAGCAACTTGGCTGTCTTCTGTGTCGTGGGCTTCAGTGTCTTTTTCATTCTCCTGGTCATCCTCATCTCTTACCTCTTCATATACATCGCCATTCAAAGGATGCGTTCTGCTGAAGGACGGAAGAAAGCCTTCTCCACCTGTGCCTCCCACCTCACTGCCGTAACCATCTTCTATGGGACTATCATCTTCATGTACCTACAGCCCAGCTCCAGCCAGTCCATGGACATGGACAAAATCACTTCTGTGTTTTACTCGATGGTGATTCCCATGCTGAATCCCTTGATCTACAGCCTTAGGAACAAAGAAGTAAAAAATGCTCTCTGGAAAGTACTCAACAAACTTTATCCCAAGCCTGTAAGTGTGAATAGGAAATAGGCAGGTTAATGGTGGGATAAACCTTCCCCCAGACCTCAGTGCCATCGCGACTTTGGAGGTTTGGCAGATTTCAGACCTTTCTTCTTCAAGAACAGTGGTTACTTCTGCTACTTAGAGGAATCATGAAAGCAGCACTTGGAAATGTCTCACTCAGGGAGATAATCTTATATTTAGTGAATAACAACATTGGACATTTAAACCCTTCTTGCACTAGTTTCTTGATATGATTCAAAGCAGAAGATCAAAGCATAAACTGAATCCACTGAATTTCCTTTCCCTAATTTTAATTGGAAGAAATTTCCACTCACCATTAAAATTTGTGTAAGGATCACATTTTCATTGTATAATACTTATCAGTTGAAATGCACAGCATTATGCTTTCCATCTTTGGTCCATGTGTTTGAAAGTTAAAGTTTCTTAGGCAGACAAAAGATGTTTTAATATTTTTAATAATTCCTCCAGAAGGTTTTAACTCAAAGGACAGGGCACTGGACCCGGAGTCAGATGACCCAGCCTTCAACTCTTCAAAACCCCCAACCCACATCCCTGCTCACCCATTGGTTGAGCACCTTTGTATTTTCTGGCTCCTTCCGTTAATGTGCTGGGACAACTTTGGTAGAAAACAATAAACCACCTTTGTATGTAATGGTTTCAGTAGATAAATTGTTTAAACATTAACCCAAATCAACATACCTTTCTTTATAGAGCTCGCACTCTGTTCCATGCTTTTGGCCTTTGTCTAACATAATTACCAAAGCTTGCAGAAGGTTTGGAGGAAAAAACATTTTTTTGCATGGGCTATGAAAGAGGAGATTTGTCTTCTGAATTAAATGCTTGCATTTCTCAGCACCCTTAAGTTTGGTGAATCTATTATGGGCACACATAATAGCTTTCTGTGCCCTCTTGGCTTCTGTTTTTTCAATAATTCAGTTCCCCTCTGGATCCCTGTTGCATTGCAATGTTCTGTAATTAGATGCTGCAAGAATAAAAAAGCTTGTAGAAATGTACTTCCTAAATAGGAACGGCACAATGATGCACAGCCCAAGTCCAAGTCCACCTTCAGGTCTTGTCTTGTGTGCTGGATGGTATCCGCAAGTGTGTGTGTGTGTGTGTGTGTGTGTGTGTGGCAGGGGCCCGGGGGTGGGGTGGTGGTGATTAATTTTACTTCTCACATATCAATGGCTTGATGGTGTTTGTAGCCGCAATTGGTCTAAGTCACTATATATTTCATGATATCAAGATCTCAAAGACAACAAAACAAGAATTTTTATTCTAAATGAGAGAACCGGAAATCTTGGTGGGCTAAATCAGGGAGCTCAGAAAGTCAAATTAGTTTTGAGATTATCAAACTCATTAGGCACAGGGCAGCCTCTGTCTGAGGAGAGTGGATCATGGGGCTTGTGGAGAGAAGAGTGAAGAGGGAGTTTTGGAACAGAGGCTGACCTATAGGAGAAGCTTCCTCTAGCACATGGCCACTGCCACCCAGTGAGCCCAGGAGCTTCTCCTGGATCCAAGGCCTTGACTACCTGCACCTGCCTCATCTGTCCTCCTGCCACCCGCCCTTAGCAGGGTGGCCTCTGGAGCAACACACATAGAAGAATAGTCATTAAAGGCCAGCATCCACTTCACATGGGAGCCTTCTCAGTGACTGCCAGAAGTCACAGAGCTTGTGGGCACCCAGACTTGGAAGTAGGGAGGGCGTTTTGGTCTGAGCTCAGCTCCTTTTCCCACTTGATCCGTACAATCGACTTCTTTCTTTTCCTTTCTCTGTCCCTCCTTTTCTACTTCCCCTTCTCCCTTCTCTTCTTCTTCCCCTTTCTTTGATTCTCAACCCCTTTCTCTCCTAAGCTGTTCAGTCCCTATGAAAAATCGGATTTTATAGTTTGTGTATCATAGCTATTACTGTACCTAGTAAGGCATATTTCTGGGTGTGTTTCTTTGTGCCTCGACACCCCAGTGTGGCAGAAACATGTATGGCTCTTCTAAGAGCTAAAGGCCTGATGCCTATGTATTTCCCTTTCTTACCGAAGCCCTCCCCAATTAGTGTGACAGTTGACTGCCAATGGGTATAAGAGAGTACTAGTTCTGGTGTCAAGAGATGATGAAAATCCTTACTCTTCTTATCAGGTGTCAAGAAAGCCATTTAATCTATTTGACCTCAACATCAAGGTTGAACTGTGAAGATGACAAAATAAAGTATTTGAATGTGCCCAGCATAATGAATGCATATTCGAGACAGTGGAGACTCCTGTGCTAGTTCTCATTTGGCTGCCCTCTTGCTCCCCACTTTTGGCTTCTGAGCTCCCTCCCTCTCTCCACCCCATCCAAGCCCAAGTTTTTATTTCTAGCCATTGCTTAACTGCCTTTCTTCCAAGCTCCTGGTTCTACATCAGACACATTTCAAGCTGATATTACATGAGTATTCATTTACAGAAGCTACTCAGAAGGAGACGGCTTGTCGCCAGCAAGACATTAATTTTCAGAATCCACATTCCTGTGGAGAGCTTTTCACTTCCACATGGGAAATCTGTCAAATGGAGACTAACACCCATTTGGTTATTAACAACTCCCACCCTCTCTCTGCAGGGATGGCCTGATGAATGGGAGGCAGTGAGTGAGGCTCCTGGCTCAGGAGAGTAAAGGTGCAGGAAGATTTCCTTCCCGAAATGGCCAAAAAGAGAATAAAAACACATCAATCAGGGCAATTATTTATATTGGGATAGATTACCCCTTTGAAAAAAGGATTCATGATTGAATTATTCTAAATACAAGGCTCCCTTTGTGCATTAGATGATTTGCTTAGCTTTATGTATGGGGAAAGGAAAATGAAAATATTGGGAGTCTTTGACAATTGAAGCTGACATTACAGAGTCATAACTCTTTAACCTTCAAAGAGCCTTTAAAAATAATCTTGACCAACCCTCTCATTTTACAGTTGACAACCCTGATTCCCACAGTTTAACTTGCTTCAACTCACAGAGAACCACATCTTATTAGACTCTTATTCATCCTTTACATTGTATAAAGTTCTTGAAGTGTCAAAAGACATTTTTACATTTTTACTTTCATTTTTCACCACGAGAAAGATTTCTGTGCTTCAGTTTTGCAATTGAGGAAACTGGAGTTTTGAGAAGTTAGCTTACCTGCCTACCATTAACAAGAGGATCCCAGATTTGAACAATAGTCTTGCCTTCCCAGCCCAATTCTCTGAGAAGGAATAAGTAGCTTTATATTCTAGTAAGTTTCAACAGAGGACTTATTTCATGTATAAATCATTTACAGACAGTCTTTCCTGATAAGTCCCTGCAGTGTGGAAAGGCGCTGTGGAGAATACAAACAAATATAAAACTATAAGATATAATTCCTGCATATATGGTGACCGATGCAATGCAACTTTGAGATTAATGACTCAGTATTCAATAACTTTGTCAGCAGGAATTCTTCCTGGATGCTATGGAACTTAATGGATCAGAGCACATTTGTTTTCAGCCTTGAGAGTGGGAGTTGAGTCTGCAGCCTACAGAGAGAGCAAGCCTCAGCCAATGTTCACTGGGCACTGAGCGCAAGCTGCAAGAAAGGCATGGCATGAGATCTGTGAAGGAACCAGGCCATAGTCAATGCCATTCTTGCTTCAGAAGCAGCTTGCAAACAGTGCAGTAAAACAAGGCACATGCTTCCAGATAGCTGGCAATTTGAGGCATTTGTGGTCATGGTCAAGTGAGCAGTATGGAAAATAATAATTAGAATTCTTCAGAGATGAGACAGAATCCTGTGGGCAGCAAAACCTCCTTGGAGGAAGTGGAACTAGAGCCAAGCTCTGAAGGGATAATGTAGAAAGAGCCCAGAATTCAACAGAGTAGGGTTAGCTTCTAGTCAAAACCCTACCACTTACTAACTGGGAGACTGGCAGAAGTCACTTACCTCTGAGCCAACTTCCTCCTCATCAAAGTGGAGATAGTAGCAGGCCAAACGTTCCTCAAGGATGTTGTAGGGTCAAAGGAGATAATGGACAGGAAAGCGTTTTTAAAGTTGCTACCTCTCGCTAATGACAATAAAATTATTAGCAGAGCTGACTGGGGAGTTTCTGACCAACAGGGACCGACCTGAACCCAGGAATGAAGATGGGACTGCACATGGCAGGAGGTTCTGTTGGCAGAGGCTTGTAGGAAAAGTAAACCACTCAGGTATCAAGTTGAGGGACCACCAACTCCTCAGTCCATTACTTCTGCAGGGACTTAGGACTTGTTGCCATCCAGCTGGATGAAGGGCCTGGGTCTGTGAGAGCAATTGTATCCCCATAGGCAAATCCCTTTCATTGCAAAACTTCTGTAGGATCCTACCACTCAACTACTCAGACCCAAGTCCAAGAACCTCACCTCCTGTTCATGACATGAGATTTCTCTGTTGTTGGACTGTGATTATTTCATAAGGTGTGTGTGTGGGGGTGGGGTGGGGGTGGGGGATGGGGTAGGGAGAAGGCGGCTAGTTTTTATAGTATATTTAACCAGGAAAAAGTTAGTGTCTACACATGTGTGTGTATGTATTTGTATATATATATAAAATATTAAATATATTCATAAATATAAATATAAATATATATATATATTAAAGCTTCTTACACATCAGTGGGAAAAAGACAGACAGCACAATAGAAAAACACAAAATTGAATCACCCAGTATTTGTTCATGTTGATTTTACTTATCTCCAGTTTGGGGAAATGATAAACACTGCTGATGTGAACTTTCTGTCATGAGTCCTGGTGCACATATGCATTCAGTTCTCTAGGTTATATGCATTTGAATGTGGAACTGCTGAACCACAGGTAAATAATATGGCACCAGTTTTGAAAGTAGTTATACCAATTTATAATCCCATCAACAGTTGTGAGGTCCCACTGTCAACACTTGGTATCACTGGGGTTTTAAATTATGCCAATCTGAAAAGAGGTTAGTGTTTTTTTATTGTTGTTTTAATTGTATTTCTTGATTACTGATGAAGT